AGCCAGGCTGCAGTAGCCCATCACTCTGAAAGAACAAGCAGCCCATGAGTACGTTTCTCCCTACACCATAAAGCATCCAACAGAGATCCTTGGTCAGCAGACCTTAAGATTCCTACTATTCACTTAACTTAGAAACAATAAAATTCAAATATGCACTTTAGTTTGGAAAGCACGCAAAGGCAGTGCTGGACACTAAACTCTCCATTTAAACAAAAAATGTCATTCTTCACTGCTCTTAAAAAAAAAGCTTAGTCGCAGCAAAATCCTGTAACAATCATTTGTACCTGTGGGTATAAGCTAAACATTTGCATTCTACTCAGGTGAAGAAGCCCCAAAAAATCTAGTAAAACATAACAATCCTGAAAAAGGGGTAGTAGCAGGCACTTTGACAAAGACAGAACCACCAGTGTCTAGAATATAAACCCACCACCCAAAATCATTACTGCACGATGGTGTGATGCAACAGCCTATGCTTTGACCTCTGCTTACTGAGATTAAATAGTTTACAATCTCTATAAACCTTATCAAAAGACTTTTTAACCTACTTTTTCTGAACAAGCATCTCCTGCTCCTTTGCAAAAGATTTCTGGCCAGTAATCAAAATGACCTTCAGACCTGTCCCGTCAGTGTAAATGTTGAACACTTTACTCACCTGCAAAGAGACGGGCTTTGTTAGCCGCAACGAAATCAGTTAAAATAATACTGTCCATTACGCTAACAACATCAAATCACCTGACAGGTCTTCCACCTGCTTCACAGAACAGTCAAGCAAAGTACTGACTGCACCAGCCTCTGTCTTGGTCCAGCTCTGCGCTGAAAGAAAGAGCCACGTACCTGTTGTGCCAGTTCTTTGGTGGGCAGAACAACCAGAGCTCGTACTTGGCAAACTACTCGATCTAGCAGAACCTGCCAAAACAAAGGCCAAATATGTCCCTAACTGCAGTGAGAAAAGGGTTCTTGTATCTAACCTAGTGAGAAGAGATGGGCTTGACAGGTCCTCATGGAGTCCTATGTTTCCATTTTACTCCCCTCCACCCTCCCAGCTCCACATGCTAGGCCTCTTGTCTGAGGAGTGGGATGCTGAGATGAAGGGGAGTCATACAGCTCCCTCAGACAGCTCCGAGACAAAAATCTGCTGCTTTTCAGCCACAAATTCATTGGCTTTTTGACCTGCTTCTAAGTTCAGGTTTTGCTTGAACAAAAGCAACCCCAGCTTACATATACTCCCCTGGGGCCAAACTCACCTGTACTATGGGTATGACAAAAGACAGGGTTTTACCACTGCCAGTAGGTGCCGAGACGCAGATGTCTTTGGGGCGGTAACCTCCCTGCCCCATCAAATACCCATTGGATGCACTCTGAAGAATAGCAGGAATCACCTGTGCCTGAACTGAACAAAAATGGAAACAAACATTAACTACAGAGTTAACCAGGCTAAAACCAGTGTATCCAGAGAAGCAGTCGATCTATTTCCACATCTCTGCTATTGTTGCTACAGATCTAAGAGAGGAAGAAATCAAAAACAGTTGCTAACAGAGATGGTGTCTGACTTCACCCAATTCTCGTCTCATCGAAGCTTAGCACTGAACACAGAGATTTCCCTCTCCAAAAATTCAGCTATTTCTAGTGCTCAGCTAAGATATTACTGTGTTAAATATTGGTTTCAACTCATATCTGTCTTTTTGTTCTCACGTTAGGATGGCACTGGGCAGATTTAAAAGCTATGAATATTTGTCTGTAAGCATCCTTTCTTTGAAGTACAAACTACTCTTACATAAACACAGAATATGCAACATGCAGCCTTATCTGCCAAGGAGCAAAATGCACAACTCCTATAGGCTTTGGAGTAAGTCAAGCTCACTGCAGGAGAGCACACAAGGACTGAAGCAAACAGTCCTGTACAGGCAACAGCTTTGCCTGTCATGCACGAACTCTCTTCTTCCCTTGCCCCATGAGAAGCCCTGACAAACTGGCCAACTTTGGTTTATCCAAGACGTTTAGCAGCCAGAGGATCTACCTCCATGACAAGACCATACTCAGTGACACATACAATGTATGACTTCAGTGGACACCATCACTGCCAGATAGGATGACACTGCTTGATTTACCTACTACAAAGTGCCATCACCTGGACTTGATTTACAGTAAAACACAAGAAGTTGCTATCAGCAACCTGTTAAGATCTCCCAGAACAAAATCAGCAACAGCATTTACATTAAAACATCATCTAATAGTATACTTAAAAAGAGAAGACGCATGCTGGCTTTCCAATATAACCTTGACGAGTCTCTGATACCGTCTAAGCCTCCAGGCTCAGCTGGACCAAGTAAAGCGCTGAAGGTCAGAGATCCCACCTTCTTCCCTTCTCTCCCTCTCCTTATCCCTGCTTCCAGCTGTGCTTTCTACTTAGGAGCCAGCATTTATTGTACTTTTGTCTGCAAAACTGGTAAAATAATGGAAAACCAACAGGTTTTTTTTTTTTGCTTGAACAGCTTTCTATTGCTGTAATGAGTCGAACAGGTTCCCAGAGAGATATGATTAGAAGCAGAGATGGTAGAAGGTAAGGAACTAAAGCACTTGTCTGGCATAAGGGGGGAAAACACGAGGACACAAGTAAGGCCTCCCTCTTTGGGCAGCTGTGAGCTATTCCTTCAAGCCACCATATTTTATGGAGCTGCACTTATGACTAGATAACAGACTTCAATTACTCAGCTTAGATAAAGCTCTGAAAGTGAAGGGTCAAAACTGATATGATCACTTAGATGCATTAAACTTGTTTTCGTTCTGTATTTTACTTCGCTGATTACGTAAAATATACAGCAACAGACTGCAGAAACTACATAAGTCAGTTCAGAACGACACAAGAGTACTGTCAAGGTACCTGGAAAAAAGGACTCTATCCCATTCATTTGCAGCTTTTTCAAGAGTCTGGGATGAATTCCTGGGACATCTCCAATTGGAACTAGATTATCCTTGATACGTTTTTGCACTAGTTTGGGTTGAGCAAGCCACCGTGGTAAGAAGGGCTGAACCTGAGGTACGGGAAAGGAGAAAAACAAAGTGCTGCTGCTGTCAAACAGGCAATGCCATACATAAAATAAGCTAGTAAGATGCAAGTTCCTCCTTGACCATCATAAAAACTCAGTCAAGGTAGTTACCTTCTGCACTGGCTTTCTGTTGTAGTCTCCAAGACCCACCAAACTGCAGAGTGGAGGATTTGCCTCTTCCTCCGAGGCTGCTAAGGACAGCTCCTCCTTTGTGCTTTGCTTTCCTTCAGCTCTTCCACTGTTCTCCTTCTTCCTTGTTTCAGCTCCCTCTGCTTCCTCATCCCTCTCCTTTCTTTTAGAAGGCTTATTGTTAAGGTTGCTTCTGTCTTCCTGTTGCTTGATGTCTTCAGAATCTGGAATTTGGGTAAGAGGAATACAAAGCTACAGGTCAGAATGTGCTGCAGAAAAGGGATGCAGGGAACATTTTACAACACAGGACTGAAGCAGTAACTTGCAAGCTCCTCTTTCCTCCTAAATCCAAGTGCAAAAGCCAAGTATTTCTTCGTTGGCATGGAGGCAACTGAAGACTGAAGTGACATGCTTCCCTCCTTCCCTTACACTAAACCGATCCTCTCAGTGTACAGTATGGGGTTCTTCCCCTAGAAAAATAATTACTTTAGCAACATATTAAGCAGAGGAAAAAAAAATTTACTATCAGGTAAATTCAGCAAGTTACTCAAAGGGCAACTTGTATCCGTTTCTCCGTTGAGAACTGTGGACCACAATGAACCGAAATCCTACAGCCTCAGTTTATCCTTACCTGCTCCAGCCCTCTCTTGCGGCACTTCCGATGTTCTTCTGTTTTCTTTCTTCTTTTTCGACGGAGTGCTGCCATCTGCTGCCCCCTCAGCACCCGCCCTTTCTGCAGCCGAGCTGCGAGACTGCTGCTTCCTCTCTAGCTGCGCCTGCCCTTGC